GCAGAGTAGAGCATGTTCTTCACCTCTGGTCTTGTCCTGACTGGGCCAAGGGCTACTGCAGGAGCAATTTCCTGCTTGATCTGAGCGAAGGCTTGCTGCTGTTCAGGTCCCCAGTGGAAATTGTTCTTCTTGATGGTAACCAGGTAGAGAGGGCTCACAATCTGGCTGTACTCGGGAATGTGCATTCTCCAAAAGCCTATGGCACCTAGGAAAGCTTGTGTTTCCTTCTTGCTGGTCGGTGGAGACATCGCAGTGATCTTATTGATGACCTCGGTGGGAATCTGACGTCGTCCATCTTGCCACTTTACTCCCAGGAACTGGATCTCTCGGGCAGGTCCCTTGACTTTGCTGCTTTTGATGACAAAGCTGGCTTCCAGGAGAATCTGGATGATTCTCTGTCCTTTCTCAAATATTTCCTTTGATGTGCTTCCACACACAATGATGTCGTCGATGTATTGCAGATGTTCTGGAGCCTCACCCTTTTCCAGTGCAGTCTGGATCAGTCCATGGCAAATGGTGGGACTGTGCTTCCACCCCTGGGGCAGTCGGTTCCAGGTGTATTGCACACCCCTCCAGGTGAAAGCAAACTGGGGCCTGCATTCTGCTGCCAAAGGAATGGAGAAGAAGACATTGGCAATGTCAATAGTGGAGTACCACTTTGCTGCTTTGGACTCCAGCTCGTACTGAAGTTCCAACATGTCTGGCATGGCAGCGCTCAATGGTGGCGTGACCTCATTCAGGCCACGGTAATCCACCATCAGTCTCCATTCTCCACTGGATTTACGCACAGGCCATATAGAGCTGTTGAAAGGTGAATGGGCCTTGCTGACCACCCCTTGGCTCTCCAGTTTACGAATTATCTCATGGATGGGAACCACAGAGTCTCTGTTGGTACTGTATTGCCGACGGTTCACTGTTGCTGTGGCGATTGGCACCTGTTGTTCTTCAGCTCTTAGCAGTCCCACGACAGAGGGGTCATCTGAGAGGCCAGGCAATGTATTCAGTTGTCTGATATCTTCTGTCTCCACAGCAGCTATCCCAAAAGCCCAATGATGTCCTTTTGGGTCTTTGAAATATCCATTTCTGAGATAGTCTATGCCGAGAATGCATGGGGCCTCTGGGCCAGTCACAATGGGGTGTTTCTGCCACTCATTCCCAGTTAAACTCACTTCAGTTTCCAGTACAGCCAGCTGCTGGAATCTTCCTGTTACCCCAGAAATAGAAATTGGTTCTGCTCCCACATACCTTGATGGTATCAGAGTACATTGAGCGCCGGTGTCAACCAAAGCTGTGTATTTTTGTGGGTCAGATGTGCCAGGCCATCAGATCCACACAGTCCAAAAGATTCGATTATCCCTTTCCTCTACCTGGCTAGAGGCAGGGCCCCTCTATTCCTGGTCATGGTACATGTTGCTTCCCTCTGGTGAATATGCTCCTGAGGTCCCTTCAAGAGGATCGTTCATATTATCATTCCTATACTGTCTGGAGTTCTGTGCGCGAGAGACTGGAGCAGCGTTGACTCTAGATGATCTTCTTGTGGTAGTTGTCCCTCTTTTTAGTTCATGTACCCAGGCTGCTAAAGAGGACGTGGGTTTTCCATCCCACTTACTCATGTCTTCTCCGTGTTCCTGAAGGAAAAACCAGAGATTACCTCTTGGGGTGTATCCTCTCTCCCTGGTTGGGGGACACCTGTTCCTAATGGCAGAGACTCTTGTTGGTTCTGGCGAGATGTGGTAAATCTCTTCCTTAAGTTCCGTTTTCAGTTTCCGATGGCCCTCTTCAATCAAGCTTCGGACTTGCTCAGCCAGCCTTGTTTCTACAGATGAGACATGGGTGCGAAACGGGGCTGTGACAGTGTCCTCGTAAATTCTCAGTTTGTTGACCAAAACGCCCACCCTGTCCTCGCCTTCCCTCCATTGCAGCGTTGCCAGGTAATGGGAGTACATCTCTGGTCCAAGGCGTGCGAACCTCAACCACATCTGAGACGTGCACTGGACACCATCTGGGCTCTTAGAAAATCTCTCGTCTTCTGAGAAAATTATTTCCCGCAAAACCAATTCCTTCAGGCACCGGATACATTGTTCCATTGTGCTCCATTTTCCTTGGTGCACCTGGTGGTCTTCTTTACAAAGGTACCTGTCCCTTAACTTGTCAGCAGTCACTGCCAGAGGCTGAGAGTTTCTTGGGTTCTCCCGATCCCCTGGTCAATGACCACATCCCGGGACAGAGATCCCAGTTGCCTGGCCTCACTTCCATCCAGAATGGTGTCATTGGCTGCAGCGTCCCAGATGCGGAGCAGCCAGGGCAGGATAGACTCGTTTGTCTGGTGGGTGAATTCCCTCCGCAGGTCACGCAGCTCACCCAGGGATAGCGACCGAGTGATGATCTCTGGCTCTGCCTCTTCTGCTGGGTGCAAAGGTCCTGCTGCATCCTCATCAGTCACTATGCGGACTGATTTGCTTTTTGATTTCTCCTTCTGCACGGGGGCAACTGCAGTCGGTTTAGGCTGTTCAGGTTCAGTGACAGTTTGTGTGGAGATGCTTTCAGCGCCTTTGGTTTTTTTCTTCCTCTGTGTCAGTCTGCGTAGACATGGACGCTGTTGTCTTGCATCTGGTTTCTTTCTTCTCTGACGGTTTGTGTAGACATGGTGCTTTTTGCTCTGCTCTTTTTTTCTCTCTCATCCTGAGGAAGCTGTGCCACAGCTCTGATCCTAAGCATGGTGTACACAGTGCAGGTTATAGAGAAAAAAGAAAAAAGAACTGACAAGAAGATTATACCATCCTTAACATCCACAGAGAACTCAATATTTCCAAAAACTGCTGTGTCCGGCCTGAAAAGCTGGAAAAAAACCCTCTTTAATCCTCCCCCCAGGAGCTGGGTATGATTGTTGAGGCCCCAGATGTAGCAGCCTAAAGTAGGACATGCAGACAAAGTTGAGTATATATTCCGAATTATGTTCACTGTCTTGGAGGTTATCATGCAGTAGGCATAATAGACTAATAAAACAAATTTTATACCATACCTTGGTCTACACAGAAGCATTAAAATCGGCAGATAGTTCCCCATGTGCGGAAAAATATAGAGAACTAGACAAGACCCACGTAAGCATGTTGAACATCGTAGTGAGTAGGTGGCTTTTACAATACAAAATTGTAATTCTGACTTTTCTCAACAGCCAGCCCCACGTTGGGCACTAAAATATGTGCTAGTTTGAAAACAAACTAATGGGAGACACCAAGTCAGAATAACAATTTAATAAGGAAAAAAAAATTATAAAGGCAGATAACACTGGGTTAAACTAACAATCAGGATACAACCTGACACCCTGTTAATCAGGGCGGTGGTAGCAGTCTGGTAGAATGGTGGCTGCAGTCCCCCAGAAGCAGTGATCCTGTAGAAAGAGATCTGCTCTTCCTCAGAAAAGTCCAGTGGTGGCTAAGCAGCTCCTGTCCTCTGGGAATCCAGTGGAAAAGAGAGCGTCTCTTGGTATTCAGAATCTCAGGTTATATCCAGGATGGAATGCTGGTTTTCTCCCTCTGGGTGGAGCATCTCACAATGGGATAATGAGTCATGCTGCATGGCATTGATGGGCCAGCAACAGAAAGATAGTCGGGAGGGGGGGAGGTGGGGTGGGAACAAGGAAACACTGCCCCACC